AATAAGTCCGTATACCGGTATACGGTGAAGCATATATGTTTTCCGTAGTACTAAAAATCAGTAGTCTCATACGCACTAAAATAAGCTGAAAAGAGTGTTTTTAAATGACAACTTTTATTTATATTAATCACTTAAAAGCTAAAAAAAGGAAGCATGTGGAATAGTGCTTTAATATGTTTTAATTTTTTCTATTACACAAAAAACATTTATTTTACCAAACATTATCAACTTTTACTTTTTCAAAACTATTTTTTTCTCAAACAATATCAACTTTATTATTAGGTACGAGTACTTCTTTCAAAATCACTTTAAAAAGTCACTTTTTTGAAGTAGAAGCAATCACAAACACACCATAAATATGAAAAGATTGATATTCAAGATTTTGAAAACAAAATTAAACACATCTTGATCAGTGACTTTATTGACTTTTTGTTTTATTTTAGAACACTAAGAACAAATACGGATAGATACTTGAGCATATGAATCTAAGAAAAATGCGCAATTAAAATCAAATTGGATGTTCAAGAGTTCTCCATCGCTAGTTAGAAAAATAAGAGGTCTGAACATGAATGCCTCCTTCGAATTTGATTCACTTTGCAAAATTTTATTTGTACACGAAGTTTATATACACTTCAGACACATCTATGTGTATGCAGATAGCTCGTGCAACAATCGTATATGTACAAAGACAATTACGTACAAATGTGTACGTGTTAAGTATGTACAAATTTTGTGTGTGCTAAGAATTGTTATTATTCTTGTAGGGAGTATCTTTCAAAGACAAGAACAATTGATTAATAGTTCTAATTTGATTTATGGAAGAAAAAAATGAATCGGGAAAAGAAATTAACAGAATGCATAAAACATACATGGGTTCCTCTAGTTTTTATTTGTAAAAGAGAAAAAACAATGACGTGCAAGTTGAATCGAGCTATGTAATTAATGCGGGGAAGGCTAAAAGAAAAGAGCGAACTGGAAAAGGAAAAGAGGAGATGAATAGAACGAGAAGAACAAGTAGTATGAAAGTTTCCCACACCGGACACCTAGACGCGCACAAGCTGAGGGAGAGCTTATAAAAATGAGGCCCGGGCTGTTGGATTACATACTTACCTGGATGGGGTTTATGGGCGATCATGAAGGCCCATAGCCTAGGTTGATGACTTCCATTGCACTTTGGAAGAGTGTCAACCTAAGATCTACCCAAGTGGTGGAGTCTACATCATAATTTGTGGTAGTGGGAGCCTGCGTTCACGCGGTCCCCGCCTAATTTCTAGTCCAAAATTAGATTTCTCATTCTAAAGCTCTCAAGGCCCAGTCCACTATCAACTTTTTCGGTTCCTTCGGTGTGGAGCATTTGAGATCGTAGTAGTAATGTGATGCATATCTGCCTTGCAATGTAACTTTATTAATATTATTACAAGATTCTAAAACAACAAAAACCATTAGTTTTATAATTTCATTTATTGTAAGGAATAATTCTAATTAGATATTAATTAGAAATTTAGAGTATCCCCTCTTTAGATTCAATGTATTAGAAATTTTCCTTGTAAAGACCTTCTGACAGAAGACCGTTGGCTCTCTGTTGATTCTTACTCCGACAGAATACCTCTGGATCTCTGTTGGACAGCACTACAACAGAAACCCTCTTCACTTTCTGTTAGCTTGCATCTGACAGAAGACCTAAAGGACCCTCTGATAGCTTTTCAAACAGAAGTGCTCGAGACCTTCTCTGAGAGACTTTCTGCTGAAGACACCAGAAGGCTTGACACTTGGAGAATTTTCTTGATACTACTTCAACCGGTGAAACCAACGAAAGATTCCTTCAACGGCTAGAAGACTTCAACGGAAAAGCTACAGTACACGCATTAAATGCACATTAAAGCCTCCCGTACTCTAAAGAGTAAATGCAGATGATTGGCCGTGATGTCAGGATAGCTTTATCCCAAAATAGTAACCCGCCAACTTTGCTGGGTCCTACTGGTCAAGTCAACTGTTCGCGCATTTAATGCAGTTGTCCTCCTTCTCCTCCAACGGGAAGACAACCCCAGTATAAAAGATACACTACGAAGAACAACCGAACAACTTTGCTACAACAGTGCGAATACAAAAACATTCAAACACTCAAAACGCATAAGCCTCTTTGAGATTAAATCTTCATCATCTTCTACAAGAGAAGGCAAACGTTGGAAAGATTCTTACTTCCAACTCAAGCAAAGTTCTATTCGTTCTTCAACACTTCAAGCACTTCATCTACAAATCTTTTGTAACGAAGCAAGTTGTAGGAACCCCTGTTTCAACAGAAACTCTTCTTTCACAAGAAGGACGTCCAAGTACCTGGAGCAGTGAAGTGGTGATACTTTCGGGAAGCTCAGTGAAAGGACCAGTCTTAAAGGAAGCCGAGAAGTGCATCCCAGGAGACATCTACACTTGAAGAAGACATGGAGAGCTTCTTAAGTGATAGGACTAAGGCTGTAACACCGCCCCCAAGTATTTGTACTCCATCGAATTATGTATTGAACCCTAAGAAATGTATAAAAGCGTTTTTACGTGATTGTAAATTTTTATCATTTCTTTTACGTGAATAGTAAAATTCACGTGGGGCCCACACCGGAGGTGGGGGCCGCCCGATATTATCGGGGCCACATATTATATTGATCTTGGACTAGATAATATGTATATGGTGGTGGATATCCTTATTGAGCCATGGCAATGGCATAGGGTTGACCGGTTGGTCAAACGGGGCCAAATTATCAGTATCGGCAATTTATTAGATAACAGCCCGAAAAGGGATTTCGGAGACTTCTAAATTAAAGTTGAGGAATGCATATTGATTCTAAGGCCCAATAAGGATTGGGAACAAGTATTATATTTTATTTGACCCAATAAAATAAAGTATACTTAAAACAGTCCGGAAAATACAACTTGCGGGACCGATTGTACACTTGGGAACATAAAGGGATGACCTCCCACATGGGTGGGGGCCACCCCACGTTTTTTCCAGCCTTGGTTGGTTAGAGGAGTGTGAAAATGCTGACTTTGGATGAGAGAGACGAGCTAGGGGGAGGTTGAGACAAGAATTGACTCCAAGAGGACCCCCACCCCTCATCATTGTCTAATGAGCCCAAAATAGACTCCCATCACCCCTTACAGCCATTCATTCGGATTTGGCATCAACTGAGGTGATATAATCTCTGCAACCACCTTATTCTTCACCCATTTTTCGCACCAAGGCTAAGGAAGAAGAAGGGGAGAAATAGAGAAGAGAAAAGAGGAAGCTAGAGAGCAAAACTTGAGATTTTCAAGGTAAGGACTTCATTAATCCAATTCCTTTTTCTTAAACCATCTTCTATGATTATTCAATCATATTTCACACCCTGGGATTTTTCTACACGTTTGGAAGTGTAGAATGAGGGGTTGGAAGGTAGTTCTAAGTCCAAGAACGGACTTAGAAGCCAAAGTGACCGGTTCGCCGGAAAATAACCTTTTGGAGGTTATTTGTATTACTATGGGTTTTATGATGATAAAACCTTGTTAGTAACTTGTTTAAGGTATTCAAGGAACTTTCACGGAGTTGAAAGGGTCGCCGGAGTTGTCGCCGGAGTCCGTTGAAGTTCGCCGGAGTTTCACCGGAGCTAAATCGGGAAGGCTAAAACTTCATAATCTTCATTAAGGTGAGAAGACGGCTTTATGCTTTATAACTTTTGCATGAGGCATGAGATTACCTAAAGTAATCAAGGATATGTTTTGTGGAATGATTAAAGATAATCAAGTATTTGCTTATGCCATGATTTTGCATAAAACATAGTTGAAAAGCATGTTATGTAGGTTTGGTGATTAAAAATGTGATAACCTATTTTGTGTGATGATCCAGGGATCCAAAATGGTATTTTTGGGTCAAGGACATCAAGAAGTATATGTGTATAAAATTTCAAGTTAATTGGACTCCGTTTGGGTGGTCAAAAGGGGTGTTGACCGCCAAGTCAACTGCCATACCCGACCGGGTATTGACACATACCCGACCGGGTATTTGCTGAAGAATTGCCCAGAGGGCTACTGTCTCCTATACCTGATCGAGTATGGGTAAATACTCGATCGAGTATACATTGAAAATTAGCTTTGGGGGCTACCGCCTCCTGTACTCGACCGAGTATGGGTAAATACTCGATCGAGTATTGGTTTATGCTCAAAACGGGCAGTTTTGAGCGGGTTAATGTGGGCCGTTCAGGTGGGACCTGCCCACATTGGTTCCTAAGGATGGTTATATAACTATAGGGATAGGTATTGTCCATAGTTGAAGGAACGAAAGGTTAGCCATATCCAGGTTAGGGTTTGGTAAGGATTTAGTTTGGGGTTGAGCATCCCCGGGACTATAAATGATCCTGAAACTCGGTTGGGGTTGAGCATCCCCGGGACATTAAATGATCCTGAAACTCGGTTGGGGTTGAGCATCCCCGGGACTATAAATGATCCTGAAACTCGGTTGGGGTTGAGTATCCCCGGGACTTCAAATGATCCTGAAACTCGGTTGGGGTTGAGTATCCCCGGGACATTAAATGATCCTGAAACTCGGATGGGGTTGAGTATCCCCGGAATGCTAAATGCTCCCAAAACTCGGTAGGATATTATGAATGTAGAATGTAGCTGGTGAGCTAGGCATTCGGGAAAAGGGTGAGAAAGGTCAGGTAAGAATTTTATCTCTAAAAGACTCTTTGAATGAAATGACCTACGGGTCGAGTATTTTACATATACATACAGTATGTATCATCGGATGAATGAGTCATATATATATATATATATATATATATATATATATATATATATATATGTGTGTGTGTGTGTGTGTGTGTGTGTGTGTGTGTGTGTGTGTGTGTGTATCACCCTATTTTTTGGGTCTCATGTCTGAAACATTAGTTATTCTTCATATAGCCTGCTTGTCACTAGTACTTCTATGGAGTACTGACCCCTCCGGGGGCCCTCACATTTTTCAGGTTGAGGCTAGAGTCCTACTACCTGCACCTTTGCCTAGGGTGATTGACCAAGAAGGAAGACGTGGTTCGTGCTTCCATTCTTATTTCAAATATATAAACTGCTCATGGATTTTTGAACAATATTTTCATTAAAAGAGTTGGGGGCCCGCGTGTCCGTGTTTGCCACGTGTGGCTAAGTATCAAACATATTATTATTTCCGCATTTGTTTGATTATGATATTGATGTTGATTGTATGTGTTTACTAATCGGTTTGGCAATAGAATCAATCAGACGCCTTGTACAATTCGATAGGGATGAACTGTTGTTGTTCTTATCAGGTTGTACGGCGGTTGTCTACGTGGCTCGGATGCGGTCCGGGGCGTGACAATTAAGTGGTATCAGAGCCATCGATTTCTAAACTATATAATTAACCTCTGAATATGGTTATCCTCAAAAAGTTTTGAATAAAACCATGAGCAACAGTTTTGTACTTAAGGAACCGTTGGAAACCAAGTTATTGACCTCTTATTGTTAAGACGGTACCCTTAACAGTTTGTTGGCCATAATGTTGGGCCAAGGGGTGTCTTTTGTACTAATCCGTCAATTGACATTGAAACGAGTCTAATGACTCATTCCTTATTTCTTTCAGAAATGGAGGGTGGACGCAGGATTACTAGGAGGAACCCGATGGGTCGTGCACCGGGGGCCACCGAGCACGATACACGGGCTGAATCACGGACCTCTAGGGGTAGAGGCCGGGGCCAAGGCCGAGGCAGGGGTCGTGGGCGTTCTACAACGCCGACGGCAAGTAGCACGCGTGTCGGATCTGTGCACCCGTCTTGGGCCACCGAACCGGACGATTTCACATATGCTCCAAGCACGGAGCAAGAGGAGACCCCGTACAACGGGGAGGACTTTGAGGAAGAAGATGAGGATGATGATCCTCATTATGACCGCATGAGTGAGGTACTAGAATGGTACCTTGAGAATAAAGCAAAGAGAGAGCAGCGGCGCCAAGCTAGGCAGGCTAGGCAAACCATGGGACAGGGAAGCCGAGGTGCTTCTAGTGCTCCATCGGGGGCATTTGGGGGAGACACGATGGTGCAAATCTCCAAGTACCTCAAGGAGGCCAGGGCCTTGGGGTGCAAATCATTTGATGGCAAGAGCGACATATCTGAGGCCGCCGACTGGATTAAGAAGCTGAATGATGCTTCTAGGGACATGCAAATTGGACTCGACGTGAAGTTGAGGGTTGCCACCAGGCTACTAGAAGGGGTAACTGCTGTATGGTGGGAGGGCGTGGAAGGAAAGTTCCACGGTGAAGCCACTTGGGAGAAATTCGAAGTGGAGTTTTATAATCAGTACTACTCAACTTTTGAAGTCAATCTCAAAAGGAGGGAGTACACGAACCTAAAACAGGAGGATGGTTGCTCGGTGAGGCACGTGGAACAGAGGTTCCGTGACTTGGCACGATTCATCCCAGAATACTCCTTGGATGAAAATCGTATGGCCAATCACTTTTGGGATGCCCTACAGTTGGACATCCGTGACCAGGCTACTTACCAACACAACATGACATTTAGCCAAATCGTTGATCAGGGGCTCCTTGGGGAAACCCAATGGAATGAAAGGAAGGCGAGAGACGCCGAGGAGGCGAAGAAGAGGAAATGGGGCAACTCGGGACCCCAAGACCACTCCCGGAGGCATCACGCCGGGGGTGGCAGTACATTCAGGGCGCCAACACCACCAACGAAAAGGTATAAGGGCCCAGGAGGGCAAGGGCCCAAACCGAGGGGTGTGGGACCACCAAGGTGCGCGAACTGCGGTAAGAACCACGGGAGAAGGTGCAATGAACCACCCCGATGCTTCAAATGCGGTAGCACGAGCCACCTCAAACCCTCTTGTCCAATGCTGAACGGAGGAGGACCATCGGGAGCTATGGGAGGACCTACGACTAGTAGGGGACGTGTGGGGCCGTCTCAGGCCGGCACGGGAAGGGGCGGACCCACGGCTAGCAATGCCGCGTCCGTTAACCAAGGGAGGACCCAAGCACGGGTGTATGCAATGACCGAGGCTGATGCTCGGGTCAACCCGGACTCCATTGCAGGTAATCTCTTGATTTCACACGTATTTGATTATGTAATTGGGTGAAAAATCTTCAAAAATATGAAGGACCCGATCGGGTACCCCTATAGACCCGACCGGGTATAAGCCACGCTTCGAGTTTGAAGTGTGCACCCGTTCGGGCAGCCAAGGCAGGATGCTTCGTTTTTGACATTTCGAGCAATACCCGATCGGGTATGGCTATATACTCGATCGGGTATGTGTAGATTTTGAGCTTCGAAGTGTGTACTCGATCGAGCGTCGAGGACATGGAGCTTTTACTTGAGGATTTTGAGTGATACCCGACCGGGTATTGGTATATACCCGACCGGGTATTGACATTTGTTCGAATTCGAGGCTGGTACTCGACCGAGCAAGGAAAATAGGGGGGTTTCTCCTTAAGAACTCGAGTGATACCCGACCGGGTAGAAGACCCTACCCGACTGGGTATAGGGTAATTCTAGGCTGAAATTTTTCATCCGGTCCTTTTCAGTCGGGATGTCGAATAGGGTGTCTTACATGACTTATATATGTAGGAACACTAAAGATCAACGATAGGGATGCGAGAATTCTCATCGATACCGGGGCACAACGTTCATTTGTGAGCGAAGCGTTTGCCAAGGGGTTGAACATGCCTTTGGTAGCAATGATGCAACCTTTGCTGGTCTCTACGCATCGGGAGATGATGTAGAGCGGAAACACTACTATCCCTCGTGTAATGTAGGGATAGGGGAGCACTGTCTAACGGGTAACTTTGTGTCGTTAGATATGCTCGAGTTTGATGCCATACTTGGCATGGACTGGCTCGAAAAGCACCATGCGAAGGTAGATTGCTACACCAAGGTGTTAGAACTAAAAGATGGAGAAGGAAACACTCTATGCTTCGAGGGAGATAGAGGGAAATTCAACCCTTGTATCATATCGGCCATAAGAGCGAGGCGTATGATGAGGAAAGGGTGTCAAGCATACTTGGCCTATGTCATAGGCAAGGAAGGCAAGGAAAAGAGTCTCACTGAGGTGAGGGTGGTGAGGGAGTACCCAGAAGTTTTCCCCGAAGGACTCCCGGGACTCCCACCAGATCGAGAAATTGAGTTCACCATTGAAGTAGAACCCGGTACGAAACCCATCTCGATTCCTCCATATCGGATGGCACCAGCTGAACTTCAAGAGTTGAAGGTGCAATTGGAAGAATTACTGGACAGCGGATTCATCAGGCCGAGTCATTCACCATGGGGAGCACCGGTACTATTTGTAAAGAAGAAGGATGGTACACTCAGAATGTGTATCGACTACCGTCAGTTGAACAAGGTCACGATAAAGAACAAATATCCTTTGCCAAGGATCGATGACTTGTTTGATCAACTACGAGGGGCAACGGTGTTCTCTAAGATTGACTTGAGGTCTGACTACCACCAACTGAAGATCAAGGAGAGTGACATACCCAAAAGTGCATTTCGTACAAGGTATGGTCACTATGAGTTTCTAGTAATGTCGGTTGGGCTTACGAACGCCCCCGCGGCATTCATGGACCTCATGAACCGAGTATTTCACCAATACTTAGACCAGTTCGTCATAGTGTTCATTGATGACATTTTGATATACTCCATGAATGAAGAGGAACACGAAAAACATCTAAGGCTTGTGCTTGAAACACTGCGGGAGAAGCAACTCTTTGCCAAATTCTCTAAATGTGAATTTTGGCTTGGGGAGATTGGTTTTCTCGGGCATGTGGTATCGCGCTCAGGCATTTCAGTTGATAACTCAAAGATTGAGGCGGTCACTAATTGGGAGAGGCCCAAGAACGTGAAGGAGATAAGGAGTTTCCTCGGTTTAGCGGGGTATTACCGCAAATTCGTGGAAAAGTTCTCTGTGATAGCATCTCCACTCACGAAGCTCACTAAAAAGGGGCTAAGTTTGTGTGGGATGACAAGTGTGAGAAGAGGTTTCTTGAGCTAAAGAAACGTTTGACCGAAGCACCAGTGCTTGTCTTGCCCGTGCAAGGGTTAGGGTATGACATCTACAGCGATGCTAGCATTCAGGGACTGGGATGTGTACTGATGCAATCAGGGAAGGTAATTGTTTATACTTCTCGGCAGTTGAGGAAGCATGAAGTAAACTACCCCACACATGATCTGGAGCTAGGTGCTGTGGTATTTGCATTGAAGATTTGGAGGCACTACCTCTACGGGGAGTTATGTCACATTTACACCGACCACAAGAGCTTGAAGTATGTGTTCACTCAGAAAGAGTTGAACATGAGACAGAGGAGATGGATGGAGTTGATTAAGGATTACAACTTGATCATTGACTATCATCCAGACAAGGCTAATGTTGTAGCCGATGCACTGAGCAGGAAGAGCTCATCATCAGGTGTTTTACTCACATGCTTACGGGCATTGAGGGCACGCGTGGAGATATCCACGGATGGGGCGCTATTGGCCAGATTTGAGGTGAGACCCACCTTATTAGATGAAATCAGAACATGTCAAGGCAATGACGAGGAATTTCAGAAAATCCGGGAACGGATGCTTGTGGGGCCCGTCGAGGGTTTCCGTGAGAGAGAAGATGGACTTCTACTATTCAAGGAACGAGTGTGTGTGCCATCGGATGAGGAGCTCCGAAAATCTATCCTTGAGGAGGCTCACTCATCTGCGTATGCCATGCACCCGGGCAGTACAAAGATGTACCGGGACTTGAAAGAAAGTTACTGGTGGTCGGGGATGAAGAGAGAGATTGCAGAATACGTGAGCCGTTGCCTTACTTGTCAACAGGTTAAGGCAGAGCACCAACACCCAGCAGGGTTATTACAACCACTTACCATTCCAGAATGGAAGTGGGAGCATGTTACCATGGACTTCGTGGTGGGTCTACCACAGACGATTAGGAACTACGACGCAGTATGGGTGGTAATCGATAGGCTGACCAAGAACGCTCATTTTCTACCTATCAACACTACCTATACGCTCGAACGGTTGGCCAAATTGTACACAGATGAGGTTGTGAGACTGCATGGGGTTCCAATTATTATAGTATCAGATAGAGACCCACGATTCACATCACGGTTTTGGCCTAAGTTCCAGGAATCCATGGGTACGAAATTGAGGTTTAGCACTGCGTTTCATCCTCAAACGGGTGGGCAATCTGAACGGGTGATTCAGATCTTGGAGACATGTTAAGGGCATGCGCCTTGGAGTTCCAGGGGAGATGGGACAATCAGTTGGCTTCAGTGGAATTCGCCTATAACAACAGTTATCAGGCAAGTATAGGCATGCCTCCATACAAAGCATTGTATGGGAGGAAATGTCGGACACCATTGTGTTGGGACGAGGTCGGCGAGGCTAAGCTCGAGGGCACTGAGTTAGTCGAGATCACTAAGGAGAAGATAAAAGTCATACAAGATAGGCTCAAGGCTGCCCAAGACCGGCAGAAGAGCTATGCTGATAAACGTCGGAGGACGTTGGAGTTTGAGGTTGGTGACGAGGTATTTCTGATGGTATCACCTTGGAAAGGGATCATCAGGTTCCTCAGTCGGGATAAGCTTAACCCACGTTACATAGGTGCATTAAAAATCCTTGAAAGGGTTGGGGTTGTAGCTTACCGACTTCAGTTGACTCCGGAGTTAGAAAAGATTCATAATGTATTTCATGTTTCTATGCTCAAAAAGTATATGCGGGACCCGTCACATATTCTTGAGAAACCACCGGTGGAAATCCGAGAAGACCTACACTATACGGTGCAGCCGGTGAAAATCATAGACCGACAGGTAAAGAAGCTAAGGAGCAAGGAGGTGCCGATGGTAAAAGTACTTTGGAAGAGTGATCGTGTCGAGGAGCAAACGTGGGAAGTGGAGACCCTAATGAGGGAACAATATCCATTTCTGTTTGATTAGACACGTGGATTTCGGGGACGAAATCCCAAATAAGGGGGGTAGAACTTGTAACACCGCCCCCAAGTATTTGTACTCCATCGAATTATGTATTGAACCCTGAGAAATGTATAAAAGCGTTTTTACGTGATTGTAAATTTTTATCATTTCTTTTACGTGAATAGTAAAATTCACGTGGGGCCCACACCGGAGGTGGGGGCCGCCCGATATTATCGGGGCCACATATTATATTGATCTTGGACTAGATAATATGTATATGGTGGTGGATATCCTAATTGAGCCATGGCAATGGCATAGGGTTGACCGGTTGGTCAAACGGGGCCAAATTATCAGTATCGACAATTTATTAGATAACAGCCCGAAAAGGGATTTCGGAGACTTCTAAATTAAAGTTGAGGAATGCATATTGATTCTAAGGCCCAATAAGGATTGGGAACAAGTATTATATTTTATTTGACCCAATAAAATAAAATATACTTAAAACAGTCCGGAAAATACAACTTGCGGGACCGATTGTACACTTGGGAACATAAAGGGATGACCTCCCACATGGGTGGGGGCCACCCCACGTTTTTTCCAGCATTGGTTGGTTAGAGGAGTGTGCAAATGCTGACTTTGGATTAGAGAGCCGAACTAGGGGGAGGTTGAGACAAGAATTGACTCTAAGAGGACTCCCACCCCTCATCATTGTCTAATGAGCCCAAAATAGACTCCCATCACCCCTTACAGCCATTCATTCGGATTTGGCATCAACTGAGGTGAGATAAGCTCTGCAACCACCTTATTCTTCACCCATTTTTCGCACCAAGGCTAAGGAAGAAGAAGGGGAGAAATAGAGAAGAGAAAAGAGGAAACTAGAGAGCAAAACTTGAGATTTTCAAGGTAAGGACTTCATTAATCCCATTCCTTTTTCTTAAACCATCTTATATGATTATTAAATCATATTTCACACCCTGGGATTGTTCTACACGTTTGGAAGTGTAGAAAGAGGGGTTGGAAGGTAGTTCTAAGTCCAAGAACGGACTTAGAAGCCAAAGTGACCGGTTCGCCGGAAAATAACCTTTTGGAGGTTATTTGTATTACTATGGGTTTTATGATGATAAAAACTTGTTAGTAACTTGTTTAAGGTATTCAAGGAACTTTCACGGAGTTGAAAGGGTCGCCGGAGTTGTCGCCGGAGTCCGTTGAAGTTCGCCGGAGTTTCACCGGAGCTAAATCGGGAAGGCTAAAACTTCATAAGCTTCATTAAGGTGAGAAGACGGCTTTATGCTTTATAACTTTTGCGTGAGGCATGAGATTACCTAAAGTAATCAAGGATATGTTTTGTGGAATGATTAAAGATAATCAAGTATTTGCTTATGCCATGATTTTGCATAAAACATAGTTGAAAAGCATGTTATGTAGGTTTGATGATTAAAAATGTGATAACCTATTTTGTGTGATGATCCAGGGATCCAAAATGGTATTGTTGGGTCAAGGACATCAAGAAGTATATGTGTATAAAATTTCAAGTTAATCGGACTCCGTTTGGGTGGTCAAAAGGGGCGTTGACCGCCAAGTCAACTGCCATACCCGACCGGGTATTGACACATACCCGACCGGGTATTTGCTGAAGAATTGCCCTGGGGGCTACTGTCTCCTATAACCGATCGAGTATGGGTAAATACTCGATCGAGTATACATTGAAAATTAGCTTTGGGGGCTACCGCCTCCTGTACTCGACCGAGTATGGGTAGACACTCGATCGAGTATTGGTTTATGCTCAAAACGGGCAGTTTTGAGCGGGTTAATGTGGGCCGTTCAGGTGGGACCCGCCCACATTGGTTCTTAAGGATGGTTATATAACTATAGGGCTAGGTATTGTCCATAGTTGAAGGAACGAAAGGTTAGCCATATCCAGGTTAGGGTTTGGTAAGGATTTAGTTTGGGGTTGAGCATCTCCGGGACTATAAATGATCCTGAAACTCGGTTGGGGTTGAGCATCCCCGGGACATTAAATGATCCTGAAACTCGGTTGGGGTTGAGCATCCCCGGGACTATAAATGATCCTGAAACTCGGTTGGGGTTGAGTATCCCCGGGAATGCAAATGATCCTGAAACTCGATTGGGGTTGAGTATCCCCGGGACATTAAATGATCCTGAAACTCGGATGGGGTTGAGTATCCCCGGGATGCTAAATGCTCCCAAAACTCGGTAGGATATTATGAATGTAGAATGTAGCTGGTGAGCTAGGCATTCGGGAAAAGGGTGAGAAAGGTCAGGTAAGAATTTTATCTCTAAAAGACTCTTTGAATGAATTGACCTACGGGTCGAGTATTTTACATATATATACAGTATGTATCATCGGATGAATGAGTCATATATATATATATATATATATATATATATATATATATATATATATATATATATATATATATATATATATCACCCTATTTTTTGGGTCTCGTGTCTGAAACATTAGTTATTCTTCATATAGCCTGCTTGTCACTAGTACTTCTATGGAGTACTGACCCCTCCGGGGGCCCTCACATTTTTCAGGTTGAGGCTAGAGTCCTACTACCTGCACCTTTGCCTAGGGTGATTGATCAAGAAGGAAGACGTGGTTCGTGCTTCCATTCTTATTTCAAATATATAAACTGCTCATGGATTTTTGAACAATATTTTCATTAAAAGAGTTGGGGGCCTGCCTGCCCGTGTTTGCCACGTGTGGCTAAGTATCAAACATATTATTATTTCCGCATTTGTTTGATTATGATATTGATGTTGATTGTATGTGTTTACTAATCGGTTTGGCAATAGAATCAATCGGGCGCCTTGTACAATTCAATAGGGATGAACTGTTGTTGTTCTTATCGGGTTGTACGACGGTTGTCTACGTGGCTCGGATGCGGTCCGGGGCGTGACAAAGGCGTTGTAAACGGACGTTTTTACAAGCTTAGTGGAACAGTGGATTAGAGGAACAAGTTGTTCCTTGAACCACTATAAAAATCCCGGGTGTCATTTACTTACTGCACTTATTTATCGTTCTTATTTGAACTGTTTAACTCCAAAGACTTGGTCTCTGTGTTCAGCAGAACGTGTCGTGTGAGTTAACAGAAGACCTATTGCCTTTGCTTCTCTGAGGCTAATCTTAGAGAACCCCTACCAGAACCCCATCCGCTGCCAGTCTGTTCTGCCAACAGAACAGGCTATTCTGTTAAATCTGGTAATTAGCTTAAAAAGTTAAAACCCAATACAGTCTATTCACCCCCCTCTAGACTGTATCCAGTACAACCGGGACCAACAAGTGGTATCAGAGCCTCCTTGTTCTAATAATTTCTTAGGTTATTTGCTGAACAAAGATCCACTTGTTTTTCTATTTGCCTCATTTTTAATCTGATATAATGGATCACTCCCTTTCCAAGAATCTTATGTTCCCATATCTTAAGTTTGATGACTGGAGGATTTGAATGAAGGCACATCTCTGTGCTCTGCATGATGAGATGTGGGAAGTACTTGACATTGGGCCTTTCACAAGCTTCCAGAAGGTCAACCCTGAGCATGCTATTGACAACACCAGACCTCAGATGATCAATATGGCCAAATCTGAGTGGACTACTGAAGAAAGAAGGAAGTACAATCTGGACAACATTGCTAAAGACATTTTTTACAAGTCCATCAATGATAGATACTTAAACAGGATAAAGAAGTGCAAGACTGCCAAGGAAATTTGGGATACTCTTGAGCTCATTGGAGCTGGTGATGAACAAGAAAAGGATAACAAGCTGACAATAGCCAACAAGAAGTTTGATGACTTCAAGCTTCTTCGTGGTGAAAGCATCTCCAAGATGTATGACAGGCTCCTCACTCTCACTGGAGAGATCTCTGAGCTTGGCAAGGAACTTACCACCAAGGAGATCAACCTCAAGGTGTTGAGAGGATTGCCCTCAGCATGGAAGATGAAGGTGGTTGTTGTCTAAGCCAGCAAGGATGTGAAGACTTATCCTACTGATAAGCTTATCTCAGACCTCAAAGCTCATGAGTTCGAGATGATTGAAGAAAAGGACGATGTACCAGAAGAAAGAACAACTACAACCCTCACAGCGAGTACATCAAAGGTAAATGATTTTGACCCTTCAATTCTTTTATCTAACGAATATATGGCTACCTTTGCCACGAGATTCAAGAAATTCATGAAGAATCCCAAAGATGGAAGAAGTCCATCTTCCAGCAGAAAACCATTCCAGAAGGTCAAATCAATAGAAAGCGGTGGTGAGCTTCTCTGTTACAACTGCAGACAACCTGGACATTTCAAGGCAGATTGTCCACATCCAAGAGTGTCCAAGAGACAAGAGCATGATGGAGAAAAGAAGAAATACGAAGACAATACCAGAAGGAGGAAAGCACTCGTCACAGAACAGCTCGAGAAAGACCCTCTGTCTGGGACATAATCCAGTTCTGACTCCGACTCCGATGAGGCCTTCGTTGCCTTGATACTGAGACAGAAGACCTATGCCTCATGGCTCATTCTGGTGATGAGGTAACCTCCACTTCTACATCTAGTTTTTCTTCGGTAGGCTTAGCTTTTGATTCTGATTCAATATCAGAATTTTGGGAAGAGTTTAAAGCCATCCAAGCCACTTACTCTTCTGTCAAAGAAGAAAACAGTAAGTTGAAGGCTGAGATCCTTGACTTAAGAAAGGAGGTTGAGATCAAAATCAACCTTCTCATTAAAGAAAGAGATCAGCTGGAAACTGAAAATGTTTCCCTTCTAAAGAAAGTAAGGAAAATGGAGTCAATCGAGATTAAGTACAACACCTACCAGAAGGCCTAGTCTTCAATGGAAGGGTTACTACTTGATCAACAGATTGGCGTTGACTTTGGTCTTGGTTATGGCTCAACAGAATCAGGTGAGCCTTCTGTAATGCCTACCACCAGTGTTGCTAAGGCAGACAAGGTCATAGTGCCACTGATTTCTAGCCCCATCTACCAAGCTGGTGTATCTGGCACCAAGGTTATTCATGAGGAAGTCAGACCAGAAAAGGGAAGATAAAGGTTCATCAGAAACCCTTTTTGAAAATTAATGAATCTGGCAGAAAACCTAACAACAGAAAGGGGTTTTTGAATAATAGACATAAAAGACAAATCAGTAACAGACAACCTCATGATGACTATGCCAGAAATGATCACCAGAAGGGCAGATATCAAGAGAGAGTTAACTTTAGGCAGAAGAGGTTGGCTGGTCAACTTCAGAAGCCCAAAGCTAACCGCCCCTCTGCTCTTGATAGTATATGGGACTTCTTTCCAACAAAGAAAGCTATGTAAAAGTACGTAAACAGGAAGCATGACCCTCACAAGCATCTGCCCAAAGTGAATCACACTTCAGTTTACTATAACTACCAGGTGGACAATGGGTACCATCCACCAAGATTTCACTTGATGAGACCAAAATGGTACCAACTACCCATACTCCATGACCCCCAGGACCCAACATTGTTTGGGTACCTAAATCTTTCTTTTGATCTTGCAGGAACTGTGTGCTGGAGCTATCTCAGAGCAAGAATGGTTTATTGATAGTGGATGCTCCAGGCACATGACAGGTGACAGAAGTTACCTGATAAAGTTCCAGAAATGCAAAGGACCTAGAGTTACCTTTGGAGGTAATGACAAAAAAGGTCAAACAAAAGGAAGAGGGAAGCTGATCAAGACCCAGATAGTCATTGATGATGTCTCATATGTCAAAGGTCTGAAGTTCAACTTGCTGAGTGCTAGCCAATTCTGTGACAAAGGCTACACTGTTGAATTCACAAAGGACTTCTGCTATGTGAAACATGAGACAACAAAGGAAGTGGTTCTTACAACAATAAGGAAGGAGAACATCTATGTGGTTGATTGGAAAACTGCAAAAGATGGAGTATGCCTGATAGCCAAGGGAGATTCAAAACTAAGTTGGGACTGACACAAGAAGCTTAGCCATTTGAACTTCAAAACAATCAACAAACTGGCAAGAGAACACATTGTTGATGGACTGCCAGACATAGTATACAAGAAAGAGACCCTATGCAGTGCATGCCAGAAGGGAAAGCAACAGAAAAACTCTTTCAAACCCATTGCTGGAGACCTTTCTACAAGTCCTTTAAATCTGATCCACATGGATTTATTTGGGCCTGTTGAGACTCCAAGTGTTGGTGGCAAGAAATATACCCTAGTCATGGTTGATGACTACTCCAGATATACATGGACTATCTTTTTGTCTAAGAAGAATGAAACTCTTCAGAAGTTGCCATCTCTGTTAAAGCAACTTCAGACTGAGAAGAATTTGAAAGTCAGGACAATCAGGTCTGACAGAGGAACTGAATTTGTCAACCAAATCATAAAGGACTTCTGTGATCAAAATGGAACCTTTCATCAACTCTCTGCCGCCAGAACCCCTCAACAGAATGGCGTAGCAGAAAGGAGAAACAGAACGTTAAAAGAAGCTGCAAGGACAATGATTGCAGAATCTGGACTACCTATGAGATACTGGGCTGAAGCAATCAACACTGCATGCTACACCCAGAACAGAAGTATGATCAAGAAGAATCACCAGAAGACCCCTTATGAACTTTGGAAAGGAAGAAAACCTAACATCAGTTACTTCATGTATTTGGATGCAAATGCTACATTCTTAACAATGGAAAGGAGCATATGAAAGTCTTTCCAGAGAAAGCTGATGAAGGTGTATTCAAAGGCTATTCAAACACCAGTAAAGCCTATAGAGTACTCAACAGAAGGACTCTACATGTTGAAGAATCTATACATGTAAAGTTTGATGATAGCATCTCTGTTAAAGAAGTAACAGAGACCCTCAAAGAAGTCAACATAGAAGACGGAACACCTGAACCAACAGAAGAGGTAGCAGATAATCCTGCATTCCCAACACCTGCACCAAACCCCCTTCTGTTGAATGAAGATGAAGATTCAGAAGATGAAGAACCAGAGAGACCCAGACAGCAACTGACAGAACCTGATCTGACATGGTTAAGAGATCATCCTCCTAACCAAGTGATTGGACATATCAGAAGTGGTGTGCAGACCAGATCAGCATCAACAAGGAGAGAAGCAATGCTTGCCTGCTACATATCTCAGATGGAACCCATGACAGTAGAGGAAGCTCTTGCAGACTCAGATTGGATCAATGCAATGCAAGAAGAGCTTACTCAATTTGAAAGGAACAAAGTATGGGAACTTGTTCCTAGGCCAAAACACCAGAATGTCATTGGAACAAAATGGGTATTCAAGAACAAAGCTGATGAAGATGGCATCATTGTAAGGAATAAAGCAAGGCTGATAGCTAAGGGTTACTGCCAAGAAGAAGGAATAGATTTTGATGAGACTTTTGCACCAGTTGCCAGACTGGAGGCCATCAAAATATTTCTAGCCTATGATGCCTACAACAACATCAAGGTCTACCAGATGGATGTCAAGAGTGCATTTCTGAATGGAGATCTTGAAGAAGAGGTTTATGTGGAACAACCACCAGGTTTTGTCATTCCTACTCACTCCTCCTGTGTCTACAAGCTTAAAAAGGCCCTTTATGGTCTTAAGCAAGCTCCCAGAGCATGGTATGAGACACTGTCCCTATTCCTAGTGAACCATGGGTTTACTAAGGGAAAGGTTGACAAAACTCTATTTCAAATCTCTGTTGCTAACCATTTTCTGCTAGTACAAATATATGTTGATGATATTATATTTGGAAGTACTAATGCAAAGTTATGTAAGAAATTTTCTCAAGTAATGCAGAGTCAATTTGAAATGAGTA